ACATTGAGTTTCAAAAAACAAAAAATGCTACTTGTGTTGATTTTATATTGCTGCTACCACGAACTTGGTGGCTTAAACAAAATGTAAACCTATCTCCCAGATTCTATGGGTCAGGAATCTAGGCACAATGAGGTTTGAGTCTGTTCTTCTATAAGGCTGAAATCAAGGTGTTAGCAAAGCTATGTTCCTTACTGGAAGCTCTGAGGTAGAATTTACAGGCAAACTCTTTTTGTTGGCTTCCAGCTGGGGCCACTCTCAGCTCCCAGAGGTGGCTTGCATATGTGGCTTCCTCCTCTTCAAGCCAGCAAGGGCACATGAAATCCTTCATGTACTTCAAATCAGTCCCAGCATGATGCAAACCTCTACACAAAAGAGCAAGAAATCTTAGGGCCTATGTTATAATTCTGCCAACTGTACTGCCGCTGTCATCTTGCTTAGTATGTTGTTTTTTACATGTCAAATGCCAGTCTATTTTGCATTCAGTTATTTGCCCCTTTTGCCTCTAGAACCTGAAAATAATTTGTCTTTGAAATAGAACAGTTTCATTAGGATGTCTCAGTTGATCACTCAGTTTCTCCCAGGTTCCCAGTCAGCCCAGACTGTTTCCTCCATTTTCGAAAGTGTTCTTGAATTATACTTTCAAATACCCGTTCTATTTTGATTTTCTTTTTCAGAGGCTCCAATAACAAATATTATTCAGTTTTACCCATCTTCTATTTTATTACTTCTCTGACCTTTTTTACTTCATTTATATCATTTTTATTTTCTTAATTGTTTTCCTGCCTTTTTCAATGACGCTTATTTTCATTTGACTCTACTTTCCCTTTATTTTGCAGTACTTGGGATTGAACACAGGCCTCTCACATGCTAGGCAAGCACTCTTATCACTGAGCTACATCTCAGCTTTTTTTTTTTTTTTTTTGTTAGCTCATTAAGCTACCTAGGCTGGCCTCATACATGGGGTCCTTCTGCCCCAGCCTCCAGAGTAGCTGAGATTATAGGTGTGCACCACCATGCTTGACTTCTGTCCTATTTTTGAATTTTTATTTTTTTAATATTTATTTTTTAGCTACAGGCAGGCATGATATCATTATTTTTATGTGGTGCTAAGGATTGAACCCAGTGCCTCATGCACGCTAGGCGAGCACTCTACCACCGAGCCATGGCCCCAGCCCTGGATTTCTATTTCACAGTGGTTTTTCATATCCTCAAAACTTTCAATGTGTTTGGTTAGAATATTCACTTTTGGTTTCTTTTCCTTCATGACTGTTTACTAGGGGAGATGTTTTTAAGTTGATGGGGAATTTCTAGATTTTCTGTAAATCTATAAGGATTTAATTCTCCTCTTGCTCACATTTATGGTATGGGGTTGTTTTGCAATATTTCTAGTTTATCCTGTCTTCTTCTGTCAATCTAGCAAAGTTGAGGTAACTTTTCCAGGGTGTTTGTATTTTGGTGGTTGGAGAGCTCTACTAGCTCAGAGGTCAGTAAACTTTTTCTGTAAAGGGCAGACAGTAAATATTACAGCCTTTGGTGGTTTCAGATTCCACCTTAAACTCCTTTCACTATTTCTCCCAATAATGCCAAGCTGAAGACCAAGCCTTCTGGGGACATTCCAGATCCAACTGAGACTTTCTATTTTATTCTTCTTTTTTCTTACTATGTCCTAAAATTCCCACCCCTTCTCTTTAACAATCCAATTGCTAAAAGAATTTCCCCCTTTCTTTTTTGCCTTCAAAGCTTTATTTCAAGCTTTGAATTTTGAAGAGGGACTCTTTAAATCATACCTGCACCTTTAAATCATGAGTGCTTTGAAGCTCCTTCCCTTGAATTTCATGCTTTGTCTGGACAATTTTTTTTTTTTAAGTATCTCCGGTCTTAGTGTATACTTCATTTTCACAGTGGTGGTTTCAGATCCACTTTAAACCCCTCACTACCTTCTTCTATCACCTCTGCAGCTTTTATTGGTTAGCCTTTGTTTCCTACAAAGCCTTGTGGTGAAGTCAAGGTGGGGAAGAAGTATGAGAGTATATATATAGTTTGTGATTTTTCTTTTTAATTAGTTATTTTGAAGTTTTGGCATTATCTGCCTTTAAGTTATGCTGAGTGTGTGGTTTCATGCAGAATTGTTTCCCTCATTTCAAATTGCATGTAAAGAAAATATTGGGAGGTAGGTAGTAGCTATGTATCTCCATTGTCTTCCGCTACCTAGGTTATTAAATAATCTATTTTTAAAAGAACTGAGCCAGGTACAGTGGCACATCCCTGTAATTCCAGCAATTCAGAAGACTGAGGCATGAAGATCACAAGTTTGAGGCCAGTCTTGGCAAGTTCAAGGACAGCCTGATCTACTTAGTGAGACCTTCTTTCAAAATAAAAAATAAAAAGGGCTAGGAATGCAGCTCAGTGGCAAAGTGCTCCTGGGTTCAATCCCTAGAATCTCAAAAAAACAAAAACAAAAACAAAACCTGAAAGCTTGTGCCCTCTTAAGTAAATATGCTAGAGAGGGCTGGGATCGTGGCTTAATGGCAGAATGCTTGCCTCACACGTATGAGACACTGGGTTCGATCATTAGCACCACATAAAAATAAATAAAAAAAAAGGTATTGTGTCCATCTACAACTAAAAAATATTTTAAAAAATTCTAGAGAAACAGAAACTAATGCTGGCAGCGGCATTTGTGGAGTTTGGTCATGACCACCTTTGTTTCTTTTCTCTATTTTTAATATTATCACTTTTGTGATCCATATCTGTGGAAATGGTTTTTGTTTTGGGGAGGTCTACTTCCACTTCCCCTTTCTTTAGGGATTTTCTTTGGGGAACCCCTCAATTTCAGGAATGGGTATATGATGCAGACCCAGCTGGTAAGTACATATGTATCTTTCAAGTCATTGTGTTTGGCTGAAAGTGGGCATGTAATCAGTCCAATGAGACTCAATCTTGGATTTATGCTAAAAAAACAGAAAAAGCTCTATTTCTGCTGGGGTTAGTAAGTAGACAATATTCCAGTCTTTTCTAGTCTGCTATACATTATATGTTGTTTTTGACCATTTATAATATTAGCAAATGGTCTTCCCAATCTCTATTGTCCAAAGTCCAAGGCAGATAATATATGATCATACAATGCAGTGCCAATGTAAGGCCATCTTGCTCAATGAAAATAGACTGGTCACCAGATAAAAGCCAGAATAAATAAATGCTCTTGAGAAGAGAGATGCCAAATATTATCAGTCAAATTTCTTAACAATTTTGACCTTCTTTCCTCTCTTTTAATGGGTTCAAATCTAAATTAGAAAATTTAATGAGGAGAAATTGAAATATGAAACTATTTCAGAAAACATGTAATGTGTGGCTATATATTTTTAGAAAGCCTTAGAAAATAAATGAGCTTGAAATCAATATAACCTATGACTGACCCCTGAGATAAAAAGTGACCAAAAAAAAACTTCTGTTATGAACTGAAGCTTGGGGTTGGGGATGAAGCTTCTAAGGCCCTGGGTTCAATTCCCAGTATTAAAAGAAAACAAATAACAACCCTGAAAGCCTGTAGATAAAGAAATCAGGAAATATTTGAAGCACAAGAGTCAGGGTAATTGAAAGAATACTTTTCTAGTATTGGCTAAGATACTCATCCAAAATCTGTCCAATGATGCCACCCCAAGGGAGTTGTTAGATTACAATTTCCTATCCTCCCTCTAAACTCCCATGTGGAACCAAACAGCATTCTTGTTGCCATCAACGTTATCCATAATTAATTAATCCCACTGCTATGGAATATCACATTCTTCAGAGCAAAATTTAAAGTTGTCTAAAAGGCAAATTGACCCATATGATGAGATGGAGATTTTGTCTTGTAACTGTTTTATGATAGATGAAGAAAGAAGATAATAAAGATGAACTTTAGAATGCACAGTCATAATAGAAGTTTGAGGGGAAATGAACATTATTTGCTTTGGTTTACCAGAAGCAATAAAAATGAGTATTCATAATAAACTTAAGTCTACATTAGTCAGTTTTTCGTTGTTATGATAAAATACCTGAGATAATCAACTTAAAAAGAGGAAAGGTTCATTTAAACTTACAATTTCAGGTTTCAGTCCATGGTCACTTGGTTCCATTGTTTATGGACCTATGGAACACAGGACATCATAGCAGGGAGCACATAGTAGAAAAGCTGTTCATATCAAGGAGGCTGGGAAGCAAGGGTGTGGGAGAGGGTTCCAATATCTCCTTCAAGGGAATGCTCCAGTGACCTAAGTTCCTTCCACTAGGCTATGCCTCTTAAAGGTTCTACCTCTCCTAATAATGCCAAGGTGAGGACCAAGCCTTCTGGGGACATTCTACACTCAAACTATAGTGAAGTCCTTTTCTAAGTCCCAAACCGTAGCTGATACTTAAAAAAAAAAAAAAAAAAGCAGCAGCAAATACAATGTTTATTATTCTCTGACTAAAGTGTAGTTGATACTTTGGGATCACTATTGGAACAATACTCCTTCACTTTCTGTGACACTTATATATTTCAGAGGTAGGATCTAGTTTCAGATAATATACCCTACAGCCCTTACATGTTATGATATTATAAAATAATATGATATTATAGGTGATATGATATTATAAAATCTATCCTACTCTCAGTAAATAATGAGGAAATTACCTGAGAAAAGCTGTGGTATCCAGAATCCCCCAAAGAGAGTTCAAAGATTAAGCCTGTGAGCAAAGTCAATTAGATTTCTTCATTGATTCTCCCTAGATTTAAAAACATTTTTTGTTTTAATTAGTTATACATGACAGTAGACTGCATTTATGTACTGTGATGTATCATATATAGATGGAATAATTTCTAATTTTTCTAGGTGTACATGTTTTCGAATCACATTGGTCATGCAGTCACATATATAAAGCAATAATATCTATTTCATTCTATCCTTTCTATCCCCACATTCCCTTCTCTCCCTCCCTTCACTTCCCTCTACCTAATCTAGTGCCCACCCACTCCCCATTGTAAATTAGCATCCACATATTAGAGGAAACATTTGGCCTTAAGTTTTGTGAGAATGGCTTATTTCACTTAGCACGATATTCTCTAACTCCATATCTATTTACTGGCAAATGGCATAATTTCATTCTTCTTTAAAGCTGAGAAATATACCATTAAATATATATACCACATTTTCTTTATCCATTCATCTGTTGAAGGACACCCAGGTTGGTTACATAGTTTAGTTATTGTGAATTGAACTGCTATAAACATTGACATGGCTGCATCACTATAGTATGCTGTGGGTATAAACCCAGGAGTGGGATACCTGGGTTTAAATGGTGGTTCCATTCCAAGTTTTCTGAGGAATCTTCATACTGCTTTCCAGAGTGATTGTACCAATTTGCCATCCTACCAGCAATGTATGAGTGTACCTTTTTCAACACATCCTCACCAACATTTATTGTTACTTGTATTCTTGTTGATTGCCATTCTGACTGGAGTGAGATGAACTCTTAGTGTAATTTTGATTTGCATTTCTCTAATTGCTAGAGATGTTGAACACTTTTTCATATATTTGATGATTGATGGTATTTCTTCTTCTGTGAAGTGTCCCTTCAAGTCCTTGGCCCTTTATTGATTGGGTTATTTGTTTTTTTTTTTTTTTGGTGTTAAGTTTTTGAGTTCTTTATATATCCTAGAGATTAATGCTTTATTGGAGGTGCCCACGTAAATACAGTTATTTCATACTAGACAAAGGTGACAAAATCATTCACTGGAGAAAAGATAGCCTATTCAACAAATGGTGCTGGCAAAACTGGAAATCTATATGTAGCAAAATGAAATTAAACCTGTCTCTTATCCTGCACAAAAATCAACTCAAAGTGCATCAAAGACTTAGGCATTAGAACAGAGACCCCAATCTTCACCATGTCAGCCTAGGATCTGACTTCCTTAACAAGATCCCTGAAGCACAAGAAGTAAAATCAAGAATCAATAAATTGGATGAATTAAAATTAAAAAGCTTCTTCTCAGCAAAGGAAACAATCAATAATGTGGGGAGAGAGCCTACATATTGGGAGAAAACCATGTGGTCATGCATCTTCCTAGATTTTTATAAATCTCTTTTTGTACAAACATGAATGAATGAACTGATGAAGAATTATAGATGGGGTTTTCTGCATTTTTCTTTAAAGTGTTGATTCTTTTCTATGTTTGGTTTTCCAGATGAAAGGAAATGATTTTCATTTTTTTAAAGCTACCTACTTGCTCTAGGGATGTTAACAAAATGGCACACATAGAACTACTTTTTTACCCTTAACTTACAGCCATGGCTTAGTTTGTATCTAATCATCAGTATTCTCAGAAATTAGTCAAAACACCTATAGAATTACCTTTAAATCTTATGTTACTGTGTGTGGCAAATCTATGTTGTGAAAGGAAACTACTAGTTAATTACATAATTATGAATTGTCATCATTCTCATATTACCATCTACTAGTATACTAACTTTTTGAACATATACAGTTATAATTTTTTAACATCCTTGTCTGCCAATTCTAATATCTGTTGGTTCTGGGTCAATTCCGATTGACATCTCATTAGGAGTCATATTTTCCTGTTTCTTTGCATGCCTGATAATTATGGATGAATTCCAGGCACTCTGATTTTACCTTATTGGGTACCATATATTTTTGTATTCCTACAAATATTCTTAAAGCTTTATTCTGGGAACACAGTCATTTGGAAACAGATCATTGGGTCTTACTTTTAAGATTCGTTAGGTAGGACTATAGTGGTAATCACATTAGGTCTAAATAGTCTCTACTAAGGAGATAAGATGGATCCTTTTGTATACTCTACTGAATGCCCAGAAAATCATGAGGTTTCTAATTCTGGCTAGTGGGAACTGGCACTACTTTTATGTGCCAGGTACTGTTACCTCTACCTCTTTTGGAAGATTCTTTCTCCAGCTTTGGGTAGTTTTCCCACATGCATATGATAACCAGTACTCAGCCCCTATAGATGTCTGAAATATTCCTTCTGTGCAATTTTCTGCTTTCTGGTACTCTGTACTAGAATCTCAGCTGTCTTTGACTTTGGACTCTCAGCTATAGCTCTTTAGCTCAAGGGACCTGCTAGGCTCCACCTTAACTTCTCCTTGATGTGCCGCCAGGGCAATTGTAGTATTCACCTTATTTATTCACCTACTCTCAGGGATCACTCTGCGTAGGGTACTCTAACTAAAGTCCTTATTCAAAGACAGTTTATAGGACATCAACAACAAAATAAAAATATCTATGGAGAGGTTCCAGAAATCTGTCTTAAACCCACTAAATCTTTCCCACTGCCAAATTTTAGGAGATCCTTGAGGATAAGATCTAGTAAAACCGGGCTGGGGTTGGGCTCACTGGCAGAGTACTTGCCCAGCATGTGTGAGACACAGGGTTCAAATCTCAGCAGTGCATAAAATAAAGGTCCATCAACAACTAAATAAAATAAAATAAAAAATATTCCTATTTAAAAAAAAGATCTAGTAAAACTAGATTAAAACTAGTTAAACTTCAAATAGATACTTACTTAAAATCTTTATTGCTTCATTCTAAGTGTTACAAATACATATTAATAATGGCATTTGTTTTCTCTGGATGGACAGAGCATTTGTCTGTCAAGAAGCTGAAGCACTAACAATGGAGAAAAAATGTTTGGATTTTGTGCTTCCTGCCAAAGATGCTCTATCTAATGATATAGGGAGGAACACATTAAGTTAGAACTGTTATTCATGATTTGGATTATCTAAACTTTGCCCTTTAATTGGGATCCCCCATTGTCCACATTACTCTCAATCCTCTAGAAAAACAGAAAAGGTCATAATAGAATTAGAAAGTTATATGTACTAGAGAACTCAAAGTTCTCCAAAAAACTTCCAGAAGCAGATGATCTATAGCATGTGACTGCTAACCTAAGATCCTTAGAACAAGCAGGTGCCTGAGACGGTCGGAACAGGATTCTTTTGTCCTATTCTCTTACATATCCTCATCATACTCTCTTTCACATATTCTTCTGGTCATATTATTTTACTCTGCTCTTTAGTGATTTAGGGTTATATAGTTCTGAGATTTAGTTTTCATGTCTCCCTTACTAATAACAACTATAAGTTTCACTAGTAATGATCATCAATCTACTATAATTTCTTTCTCCCAAGCTATTAATAGCCAATCTAAAAAAAAAATTAAACAAAAGGATGTTACAATAAGTTTATCAATAATGATACTGTTTGATGACAATAAATGAGGAAAAATGTCCTTGTTCTGGATGAGGATATATATATTATTGGCATATATATATGACCATCATGACAATAATCATAGCAATGTGTTTACAATCCATTTACAGTGATCATCTCTCTTGTGTGGTAAATGGGATCTTTTTTCCTTTATGAAATTCAGGATCAAGGCTTTCAGTATCAATAGCCAGGACCAAGGCTAATTTTTCTATTGGACTTTTGGCTAGACTGTTTCAAGACCATTTCTCCCCAATAGCCTCAACTGATTCTATCTCCTTAAGATATATAAAAGATAAGATAAAGAATCCAAAGAAACAGATCTCTTTTTGAGTAATGAATCCTTTGGATGTTAATAGGAATTCAACAACTTAAGGAGATCATCAAAAATATGTTCAATCATTATGGCTGACCCAGTAAACAACAGAACCCACGCCCTGGAGATGTAGCAAATAAGTTAAAAGCCCTTCAATAAATGTCTCAGTTAATTTTTGCTTGCTTTAAACAAAATACCTGAGAATATAAATTTATAAAAACCAGAAATTTATTTCTCACAGTTTTGCAGCCTTGGAAGTCCAAAAACATGGTGTTGGCAGGTTAGGCATCTGGTAAGAATCCTATTCCCTGCTTCCAAGATGGTGCCTTGTTGCTGATGTCCTCTGTAAGGGCTCAATGCTCTGTCATTATATGGGGGAAGGTAGAAAGGCAAAAAAGAACTATGCTAATTACCTCCAGCCTTTTCATGAGGGTTATGCCCTCATTACTTAACCATTTTCCCAAAGGCCCCATCTCTTAATACCACCCCAATGAGGATTAAATTGCAACATGAATTCTGGAGGGGACACATTCACACCATAGCATCAAAGTAATTATAAATAATTAAATAGTCACAATTTTTTTTCTAACCAGAGAGGTTAGAAAATAGTTGTTTAATGTTTGTTGTTCAGTCTGAAATGCTTCTATGGAGCTGCTGTCCTGGGATATGAAGACCAAAAGGGAGAACAAAGAATAAAATGTTCCCACCTTCTGGGAAGAGATTGATTGTTTGAAAGCCATGGTAACAAGCAGTTATCAACACCAATTTTAAACTTGTCCATTAGATCAGTGACAACTTGCTCTAGTGTATATGCTTTTACATGGCTGAACAATGCAGTCTCTCACTTCTGAAAGTCAGACAAACATGGCTCTGAATGCCCATTCAATGAACAATAGTATCACCTAACCAAGTATACATCTATAGATAGTAGAACCTACCCAAGCTTCTGAAAGTCTTCAAATCCTTGAATTCCATGTTCCTCCCAATCCTGTATGAGATAAACAGTGTGCTCTGCTCTGGGAGGAAATAGGCCTGAATAACATAGTTCTCTCTTTTACTATACAGTAAACAGTACATTAAGTTTTACCCTTTTGTTTCAGGTAGTGAGTGGTGGGCTCTTCAACCTTTGACAGTCTTACATTTGATATTTCCATCAAATATATAATTGTATTATATAACAAACTAATTTCCACCAAATTACATAATCATAAACTTCATTTAGGTCTTCATATCAGCAGCTACCATTACTTAAATATTAAAATAGGCATTATACCAACTCATTATATACCTTAGGTCTGCATCACCTAATCCAGCACTCAATATCTGACAAAGTTCAACTTATTAATTAATATTGTAAGGGAAATCTACATTGATCAGGCAGTTTCCTTAAATGGAGCATACTGACATGCTTTTTAAAAAGCTTTCTTTTAATGATCTAGGAAGTTGTAAATATAAACTTTGAGATATGTTATTTAAGAACATAGGTATTAGTCTTATTAAAGACAACACTGGTGATTACTCAGTATAGAAATGTACATGTTTATAAAGCAATGGAAGAGTTTTTACCATTTTCCAGGTGACTTTTTCCAGGAATGATCTACTGGATATGAGACTAGTACTGACTCAAAGTATTATATCATTTAACACCTCACTAAATACTTTTTGATAGAATGTAATAAGAAATAGCCAAATATCATGCAATGGCATTTCCTATTATACAATAAACTAAATTTATTGGGTGGAAAATAGGGAAAGGGACAAAGATAGGGTGGTTCTGTAGTGATTATAAAGGTTTGTAAAACATTAACTAAGGTCCAAAATCTTCAGCCCACATCAAAGACTTCACATTCTTATGACTGTACAAACAGGCCAGCCCTAGTTGTGTGGCTTGCAGAATCATGGAGGTGTAGCTGCACATGAAGAAGTTCCTTTGTCAAGGACATCACTTCCTCTCTACCTCAGAATGATACTTCTTGGGCATGAATCCAAGATTCTGTTTAGCCTCCCATCGATGCAGAGCAGACTGATTAGAAAAATCATGTCTTGTATCTTGATCCTGTTGAAAAGAAAGTACATTTGTCTGTTCTGAGTACAGTGCTTAGCACCTAATGGCCTCTGTGAATGTCACTTAATTCATCTGGTAAGGTGGTCCTAACCTAGACATTAGAAATAAGGTATAACTTATTTTTTTAAATACTTATTTTTTAGTTTTAGGTGGATACAATATCTTCCTTACATTTATGTGGTGCTAAGGATCAAACCCAGTGCCTCATGCATGGTAGGTGAGCACTCTACCGTTGAGTCACAATCCTAGCCCCTAACTTATTTTTATTATCATTGTAGTTATATATAATATTGGGGTTCATTTTTATATAATTATAAAACATAGAATATAATTTATTCCACATCAGTCCCCAGTACATCCCCTGTCTGCCTCCCTCCTCCCTCTCCCTGTTCCCTTTCCTCTACTCTACTAGGCTTTCTTCTATTTATTTATAGTTTGTTTTAAATTAGTACATTATAGATACACATAAAGGTGAAATTCACTATGGTATATTCATACAGGAGAGTTTGGTCAGACTTATTCCACCATTCCTCTCTTTGGAGAAAAAAATCAGTTCGTTGGTTTATTAGAAGTAGTTTAAAGAAATCTAAAGATTAATAAAAGAGTAGCTAGATGATATAAGACTTCTGTAATTTGAAGTTTGAGAAGGTATAAACTTGAAATTGTTTAAGGCATCTTAACCTTACCTCTTCTAGCCATATGTCTTCCCGGGGAAGCCTCTGCAACCGATTTTTTGTCAATTCAAGTTGCAGGCCATCAAACTTGCACTGAAACCAGCGGTGAGCTTCTTGCAGGTTAGCTGTTATCTGAATACAGGTTTTTTTTTTTTTTTTCTATTAGTTTTACAGACTTTTACCTAGATAAAGACCTAAGTTCTGACTGCAAGGTCCTTGTAAACTATTCATACATACAATACGTTTAACAACCGATTAAATAAGAGTAATTTCTAAATGAGGGTTAAAGGAATGCATACAGGCTCACTGCTCTTCATGCACTTGTTAATGTTTCCAGGACATCCCTCACCTGAATCTGGATTTCCCTCACCTAGCAAGGTATCTGACACAGAGTAAGTCCTCAAGAAGTATGCACTGCTGTCTACCTATCGCAGATTAGTTAGGTCAGTATAGGGGGCACACTATAGGAAGCTAAGAAAACTGAACTCAGTGTTATTTAACTTTTAGAAACTACAAAGCTAAGATGTCTTCCAGGTCCGTTTGTGCATCTTGATAACAACTATAATTCCACTTTTCCCAAACCAAACTTCTCTTTCTCTAGCATCTACCAGGAATGGAAGAAAAGGTACTTGAAATAGCTTTGTATAAGACATCTATTGTATGATGAATGAGAAGGAGCTAACACTCAGAGATATCTACTAGAATAAAATAATTATTGTGTGGATGTGGTAACTGATAGGGAAGTTGCCTAAGTGCACTAGTCAGTGTCATAGTTGGCACTCAAACTCGGGTCTCTCAGAGTACATACTATTCCTAATATACCATTCTACAAATCATGTTGTATTCAGTGGCTACAAGAGGAACAATGATAAAATGACAGCAGTGATACTTTAAAAATGTCTGTTTTCTAAATCTAGAAAATAAAGGGTGGTTGTGGGAGAACTATAACCTCAAAGAGCCTTCCTAGATCTAAAAATGTATGATTTAAAACACTTTCAAATAGGCCAATTTAAGTTTATTTTTAATTTGTTCTTTTTAGTTATATGTGACAATAGAATTTATTTTTATATAGTTACACAAGCATAGAATAATATCTTATTCTAAATAGGATGTATACAATGTTCAGATTCACTGTGGTGTATTTACATATGAACATAGGAAAGTTATGTCAGATTCATTTCACTGTCTTCTCTATTCCTATCTACCCTCCTTCTCTTCATTCCCCTTTATCTAATCCAATGAACTTCATTCATTCTTTCCCTACCCACCCACCATATTGTGGTTAGCACCCATATATAACAGAGACCATTCAATCTTTGATTTTTTGAGATTGTCTTATTTCATTTAGCATGATAGTATCCAGATTCATCCATTTACTGGCAAATGCAATAATTTAATTCTTCTTTATGGCTGAGTAATATTCTATTGTATATACACTATAATTTCTTTATCCATTCATCTGTTGATGGGCATCTAGGTTGGTTCCATAGCACAGCTATTGTAAATTGAGCTGCTACAAATGTTGATATGGCTGTGTCACTATAGTATGCTGATTTTAACTCCTTTGTATTTATACTAAGGAGTGAGATAACTGGGTCAAATGGTGGTTCCATTCAAAGTTGAGGAATCTCCATACTGCTTTCCAGAGTGGTTGTACTAATTTACAGACTCGCCAACAATTTATGAGTGTATCCTTTCCACCAAATCCTCACCAACATTTATTGTTACTTGTATTCTTGAAAATTGCTGTTCTGTTTGGAGTTAAGGTTAAAACAGGATAGTTTTACTTTACATTGCTAGAGATGTTGAACATCTCTTGTTTACATACGTTTGTTGACTATATTTCTTCTTTTGAGAAGTGTCTATCATCCATTCATCATTCAATAGCATATTTTTTAGTATCAAGGTGTTTGAGTAGCTTCTTTTTTATTTTATCGTTGATTTCTAATTTTATTCTATTATGATTTGATAGAATGCAAGGTATTTTGTGTGTGTGTGTGTGTGTGTGCATGTGTGTGTTTATTAAGAGTTGCTCTGTGGCCTAAGATAGTCTATTTTAGAGAATGATCCATGTTCTGCTGAGAAGTATGGTCAGTCACTGATGAATGAATATATGTCTTGTAAGTCTAAATTATTAATCGAATTATTCAGTTCTCTAGCTTCTTTATTACTTTTTAAAAATAATATCTATTTAGTGATGAGAGAGGCCTGCTAATGTCATTAAGCATTGTGTTGTTGTCTATTTGATTCTTGATATTGAGAAGAGTTTCATGTATACAGATGTTCCATTGTTTGGGGCATAAATATTTATGACTGGTATGTCTTATTGATGTGTAATTTCATTAAGCAGTATGAAATGACCTTCTTTGTGGCTTCTGATTAATTTTGGCTTGAAGACTTCTTTAACTGATATGAGAATAGAAACCTCTGTTTGTTTATAAGATCCATGTGAATGATATGTTTTTTCCCATCCTTTCGCCTTCAGTCTGTGGACGTCTTTGCTTATGAAGTCATTCTCTTGGAGACAGCATATTGCTGAGTCTTATTTTTTAATCCAATCTTCCAGCTTACATCTTTTGATTGATGAGCTTAGGCCATTTACATTCAATGTTATTATTGAGGGATGATTTTTACTCCTGTAATTTTATTTCTAATTTTTAATTGTATTAGTTTCCTCCTTGGATCAACTATTCTTCTAGCATACTTCCTCCATATGCTGGTTTATAATTTTATTTTTCATTTCTTCTTCATGAAATATTTTATTCATGCTTGTAGTGTAGGCTTTGTAGTTGTGACTCCTTTTGTTTATTGTGCAAAGTTTTTACTTCATCTTCAATTCTGAAGCTTCATTTTGCTGGGTGAATATTCCATATTCGTCTCCATATTGAGCTTGATACATATTATTCTAAGACCTCCTAGCTTTGAGAGGTGTAGGTTGAGAAATCAGCTGAGATCTGAATTGCTTTATGCTTGAATGTGACCTGTTGTTTCTCTATAGTAGCTTTAAAATTCTATCCTGATTCTGTATATTAGTCATTTTCATAATAATGTGCCTCGGTGTGAGTCTGTTGTAATTTTATACACATGGAGTCCTGTTTGCCTCCTTCATTTGATTTCCCATTTATTCTTAAAATGAGTTGGGAAATTTTCTGATGTTATTTCATTAAAAATATTGTGCATTCCTTTAGTTTGTATTTTAGAGCCATCATCTATTCCAATGATTCTTAAATTTGGCCTTTTCATGTTATCTTGTATTTTCTGAAAATTCTGTTCATAGTCTCCTAACATTTTTTCATAGGCAACTTTATTTTCAAGACTACATATTTTGTCTTAGTTGTCTGAAACTCTGTCTTTCAAGTAGTCTAATCTATTGGTGATGCTTTCCATTGAATTTTTAATTTGGCTTATTGATTTCTTCATTTTGAGGATTTCCATTTGATTCTTTTTCAGAATCTCTCTTTATTGAAGTGATCTTTCACTTCCTGTATTTTATCTCTGATTTCATTCCCTACATCATCTTTTACTTTGCAAATCAGTTTAGTTATAAACTTTCTAAATTTTTTTCTGTGACATTTCCCCCACTGTGTTATAGTGGATTCTCATATTGAGGTATTTTGTATTGGGATGGTTTGTTCCCTCGCTTTTTCACTTTGTTTGTGTGTTTACCCATTTATCAGTATGAACTGGAGGTGGCAGAGTTCCTACCTTATGAACTCAGTATCCCTGAAGGTTTCTAGCACCTCATGGTTTAGGGGGACACAAATAATAACAACCACCAATGTAAACAATATATAGCATTAAACTAAAAACTTAGTACCTATTATGACATCTACCATGTTAATTGGTATAATAGGCAATTACCAAAATTAAAACGATAAGTTTGCGAAAGGCTTTGCTATTTCAAAAGTGAACAGAAAGAATGTTGAAGAGATATAGGATGTGATTATGAGGGAGGAGCAAAGAAAGTAGAAATAAAAAATTAAAGGAAGAGTAAAAGAGAGAGCAATAGAATTTGGCTGTTAGCCAAAGAAAAGAGAAAGAAAGTAAAGAGAAATAGACAAGGAAAAAAAAGAAACTAACCCAAAACATACTAATCAAAAACCCTACCCCTCAAAAGACAGTCATGAAAAATAACTACCTTCAAAAAATGCTATAAATGAGAAAAGGGACAAATATAAATGTCCATGAATAATTTAGTACACAAGCAAACAATAAAAAAAAGTTCTTGATGAAAACTTAAGGAATTGTTTCTATTGTGGTGGTTAAAAATCGTCAATGAGAATATATGTTTGTTGACTGTTCCCAAATGTCTTTCTTTCCATATGTACCACGCACAAGAATGCTAGCATACTAGCTGCAAATCCTCGCCTCTTTTTGTGTTGCTCATCTAGTTGCCAGTTGGAGTTCAAAAATTCTTGGCTTCCCTTGTGGCAGTATGAGGTGGAGTGGGTTGAAGAGTGCTGTTCTCCACTCTCACGATGGGATCACTGTAGAATTCTGTGAGAGGAGTTCCTATCGATGGAGGTCCTGAAGGTAGGGCTTAGGTCTAGTTAGGCCCCAGGTGCTACACTGAATGGTGATTGGTCTGAGAATTTTAAATCAGAACACCTCCAGGGTCTGGCAGCTGCTGATCCATGCTGGGAGAATGAACCCCAGGAGTCTCCCCTGGGCCACACTTATGCAGTGGAGGAGCCAATCCTGCACCACCTATGCCACATGCAGATTTCACCCTTTCTGGCCTTGGGCTCAGTCCCCAAGCACAGTCACTCCTGCCCATCTGAATTTCCTGCCCACCCCAGCTGATCCTGCAAGTCAATAGACTCAAAGAGGGAGAGGGACCCAGAATCTCTCAGGTTTCAACAACCTGAATTCCCCCAGGTAAAACATTCTCGAGGCCTGAATTTCTCCTGGTCTCCTAGGCACACTCTTGAGTCATGTGGTAGGCATCAGGCAAGCCTGACTTTCAGACCCAGCTCAGATTTTCCAGGTCCAGGCTCCTAGATTTGCTCCCATAGCTTCCAGCCACCACAGCACAGTGAAAAGATGGCTCCTGCCTTGGCTCTCTGTGGACCACCAGGAGACACACAGCATCTTTGTCACACAAGGCTAATAGTGTGGCACACTTTTGGATCAGTCTGCCAGTGTCCTTGATCTCTGATTTCTCCATACCAAGACACACCACTGTGCCACCTGAAATGCAGGTTCTCTTAGTTCCCTTCCCTGCTTTGCCCACAGTGTATTAGCTCTGGCAGCCACTAGCACTGGCAGGGCTTTCTTCTTTTATTTTATTATATCCAACCTTCTGAGTCTCCAAGCTGTTCTGAGAGTCCAGCATTAAATCCCAGTAAAATCCCTCTTTCACCCACCTCACTGAGCTATTTATCTGCTATCTTGGTCTCACACCACAGAGTAGCTTGGAAAGCAACCTTGTTTCCTCTGCAATCTTCCCAGTCCTCCCCCAATTTACGTTTAGAACAGAGAAAGCAAATTCACATATTAGGACATACTTTATGCTTCTAGTTATTGATATAACAAAGAATTTCCAATTTTCTTAATTCAAGTCAAATAATGCAGTAAAATCAACACACATGGTGTTCTTCCCTTATATTTAGTGGTCAAAACTTAGAGACTTCAACATTCAATTAATATCTTAGTATTCTATTACCTATTATCAAGACATAGACTCTTAATCTAAAAACTACTTATTTTTTACAATAGAGACTTTACTTAGTAAATTATTGGTTCTTGCCTGTTGTACTCATGACAACTGATGAACTCACTTGTGTGTTTCAAGGCTATTGTCTAAGTCTTTATGGCTATGGGCTGGCTCACCTGTTCTGATTCCACACTGGCTTCTTTCAATTTGTTCTCTGTTGCCTCTTTACATTTCTTCAGGTGTCTAACAGTTTCTCCCAATTCCTGAAGATGTGAGAAAGATTTTTAAAAACATCCAATGTACCATATAAAAGAAGTTTCAAATATGTAATACAGCAACCAAATTATGAAAGTAGTATTTTAGTATTCTATACACTTTTGAATTTCAGGTGCTACCAAAATACAAGATACAAATTTATCACTAGTCTAATTCACACTCTTCAATACGTATATTGTTACAGATTCTGATCTGAATTATGAATTCTGCTGCGAGAAAGTGATTAATGTCTCTTTTCAGAATTGGAGAGATACCTTTCATAGCAGACAATCCCTATTGGAAGACAAGAATTCAATGCTCTCTTGAAGTACCTTTGTAGCAATATAACGTCATACTTTTTTACTAGGTTAGGAATAGCTAAAATTCCTATAATAGCAACAGGTATGCATCTATGTTATAGGGAAGAATCAATGGGTATATGTTTCCTAAAGACTATGAAATCCACTTCAGAAGTCTGACTACTTAGTAACTGATATTTTAAAAATGTGAACTCTAGCTTTTCTTTAAAAGTAAACACTTATTAAATTGAAAATGGAAAACATTTGCCATATTCCAAGCTCAGGCTTCTTCCTAGGTATTACTCTTCTAAGAACTTAACTAAGATGAACAAATTTTAAATATGTTTTCTACTACCGAATCTAGAAAACCTAGATGCTATAATGCTGGTTTTAGGCACAGGCCATCTGCTCATAATCTTTGAAAAGAATCTTAAGAAACCTTTTACCTGACACCGATTTTCTAATTCCTGCCTCATTTTCTGCTCTGCTATTAGTCGCAGCTCTTGCTGTTTATTCCGTGCTGAAGTTTCATATTGGCTCTTGGCTAACAGCTGCATCTCTTTCTGCAGGTTACTCATTTCAGATACGAATCTCTGGATACTCAATGACTGGCAGAGAACAAATAGGAAGATATTTAGTGTATCTAAGTTGGAATTTTGTAATGAATAGTAAACAGATTGTAGAAATCATCTACCTGTTCATAGTTTTTTTTCTGATATTGATCCTTAATTAGCTCCATTTGCCTCAATTCTGTTTCTATTTGCTGAAAGTAAATGTAGAAATAACATTAAAAAAAAGATGATCAATGGGAAAAGCAGCTTTTTCTTTTTGCCTTTAGATGACAGAATCCCATATGAGAACCAAGGTTTTATAACTTTGGTTCCTGTTGGGCTCTTTCCTATGTGGCTTACTGACCCGCAAAGAGCAAAGTGCAGTACGATCAACACAGAGAAGACAGATGGGGAGCCAGAATGTGACACTGGCAGCTAATAAGAAACCAAACATTTACAGAGATACATCTCCACTAAAATAGAGATGGTCCCACAAAGGCAATTTGCCCACTTCCCAGTTGTGGCTGTAAATTCTCAGAGGATACATGCTCTGTTAAGGCTCTAAAATCTTTCTTTCTTAGACTCCCATGACTGTCTGGATCCTCATAGCACACTAAGAAAGTGAGGGGAGACTTAGGGACATAGAATGTCTCAGACACCTTCATTCTCTCTACATTCTGAGCATTATTCATCTTAGTGGATAAGTGGAGTTTTATTTGGGCCTTTTGATTCTTTATTTTCTCCTTGTTACTGTTCAGTGTTTTTTCCAGCTCTGCAAGTTTCTGCCGCAGCTCTCTGTTGGTTCGGGATACCTCCACTGATCTGAAGTTGGCTTCATCAAGGGCTTTCTTCAGCTTAGGACACAAAGGAAAAAATTGGAACATTTTTAACTACCATTTGGTAAGAGAAGCTTGTTTAGTTTTGTTCTTATATTTTGCTGACTTTTAAAAAGGAGAATAAGCAACATGATAATGATGTTGGAGTAAGCAGATTTATAGAGCAACAGATCAAGTGATTTTCATAATTTTTAATACTAAAGAATAAAATATTTCTTACAATAGATAAAGAACATACATGTATATTCCTTGTTCGCAGTTAAAGAGCATGGCTTTGGAGTCAGACAGACTCCTAAGTTCAACTCTGAGCTTCACTATTTACTATCTGAGTAATTTGGGGCAATTAACTTTCTCAAGCCTCAGGTTCATCAACCTAAAAGTATGAAAAAGATATTCATAAATCTAAATTAAATAATAAAATGTAGAGAAAGAATGTGAAGCCTGGTACACAATAATTATTGCCATGCTATAAGCTCTTCTCTTCTGTCATTTGCAGTCTCATGTCTTGAGAAGTGAAAATAAATTATATGGTAATTTATCATTAAACTTGTCAGCTGTCAACTTCACTGCATATGTTTTTATAATATTGCTTTTTGAAGCCCAAGTCTAGCTCAAAAAACAAGCTGGGCAAACCTATGCTGCGTGACAGAGAGTGTGCCAAAGTGACCAGGAGAAAAATCAAGCATGGATAGAGGTTTACACAGGGTAATACTGGTTGAGGAAACCCACTTGGCTTCCCTCTCCCCTTCTAATCATGCTGCTTTCAGGACCCACTGGGAAGAGAAATGCCTGACCAGGAATTCAAAAGAGTAGAGGTGGGAGAGATTGAATTTGGAGACTGAATCTGAGACCAGGAATTGTGAGGTATGCAGGCAATATAGTGGGCTAAGAACAGGCTCCTACACTACACGAATAGAACCCAAAAGACATTCCAGGGATGCAATCTTCCAGCATGGCATGGCAATTGCTGGGCACTGGAGGTGTGCTGACTTAAAATCTCCAGACCAACTGGCATTCAGCAAAGAGATTGAAGTATACCTAAGTCTATACCCCACCCTCTAGGAGTTACCACTCCTGGATTAACCCTCTCACCCTAGAAACCCCACCCACTTAACTGCTAAGAAGTGAAGCTGAGAAGCGGAAGATGGCGGCGAGGGGAGTGCATTGCCCCCGTGTGCTGCGTCACTGTGTGGGATTATGACGAGTCAGGATGGCTAAAGGCTATCTTGTTAGGAATTTCCAGCAATAGTGGGGTGCTCCGGAACCTGGAGGAAGGATTTCCATCGCACGAGGATCGGCTACGGGGACTCAACAGCGAGAGATGTGTCGCACGGAGGGTAACACTGCTTACTCAGCAAATCGCCCCACGGCTAGAGTCTGCAGCGCACGCTGGGAAACGAGAAGATAGCGACGCAGGGATACAGCGCTGCAGTTTCTGCCAGCCGTGCAAGCACCGTACTCAGTGCTGAATTCTGGGTTCGAGACGGGGGAAGGAAGCGGTCCATTTCGGTTCTCCGCACCGGTCAGACCACAGAGGAGGCCAGCAGCCACCATCTTGGAGAGCTGACGTCACCATCCCCGTTTTCGACTGACCACAGCTCATGCAGCCATAGAACAGGTAATTTCAGGCTGCCATTCACCTGCGGCTTGCAGACAGATTACTCAGGCTCAGTGCCTGAGTGCTTCTTGGAGCCTGCTCTTATCAGAGCATACACCGAGCACGGAGCGGCCGAGTTCCGGCTCCCGGAACTGCCCTGGCCCAGGGCTAAGGAGCCCGCGGAAACTGCTTCTTGGAGCCTGCTCTTATCAGAGCATACACCAAGCATGGAGCGGCCGAGTTCCGGCTCCCGGAACTGCCCTGGCCCAGGTCTAAGGAGCCGGCGGAATCTGCTTCTCGGTCTGGGTCCTGCTGAGGGCCGGTCAGGACTCACCCGTTGCTTTGGTTACCCGGCAAAGGGAACGAAATGCTGCCATTCGCATAGGATACCAACATGGCAGAGATCTGATGTCATCAGAAAGCGGTGGAGGAGAGAACTTCATCAATACCAGCGGCGACAGAAACAGTTGGCATCCTGGTAGGGAGGGTGAGGCACAGACACCCGACTCTCTCTCGATTTGTCGTCGAGCCAGAGGGGAGGAGCCGGGCCGCCACCCGCGCCCGGAGCAGGCCCAGTGGCTCGCTGGCGTGGTGATCGAATGACCCCAATTGGAGAGGGGGCGGAGCGGAGCCGCCACCCGCGCCCGCAAGGTGGGCAGACCCGCGACCCAGTGGTACACGGGCGTGGTAGGAGGGGCAGGGCAGAGCCGCCACCCGCGCCTGCAAGGTAAGCAGACCTGCGACAGACTGGTGGGTCAGGCCCAGGGGCCTGCCAGCGTGGTACACACGTCACCCCAACTGGAGTAGGGGCAGAGCAGAGCCTTTGCCTGCTCCAGGATCAGGCCCCACTGGTGTGGTGGTCACGTGACCCCAATTGGAGTGGGGGCGGAGCGGAAACGCCACCCGTGCCAGCAGGGTGAGCAGACCTGCGACCAACCTGCAGATCAGGCCCAGCGGTCCGCAGGCGTGGTAGGAGGGGCAGGGCAGAGCCGCCGCCCGCGCCTGCAAGGTAGGCAGACCTGCGACAGACCGGCGGATCAGGCCCAGGAGCCTGCCGGCGTGGTACACACGTCACCCCAATTGGAGTAGGGGCAGAGCAGAGTCGCCGCCCGGGCCAGGAACAGGTCCAGCGACCTGCCGGTGTGGCAGTCACGACACCCCAATTGGAGTAGGGGCAGAGCAGAGCCGCCACCCGTGCCTGAAAGGTGGGCAGACCTGCGACCGACCAGCGGGACAGGCCCAGTGGCCTGCCGGTGCGACAGACACGTCACCCCATTTGGAGTAGAGGCAGAGCAGAGCCGCCACCCATGCCTGCGGGGAAGGCAGACCTGCAACCGACCGGCGGATCAGGCCCGGTGGCCTGCCGGCGTGGTACACTCGTCACCCCAATTGGAGTAGGGGCAGAACAGAGCCGCCGCCCGTGCCCGGAACAGGCCCAGTGACCTGCCGGCATGGTAGTCACGACACCCCAATTGGAGTAAGGAGAGAGCAGAGCCGCCGCCCGCGCCTGCAAGGTAGGCAGACCGCCGCCCGACCCTGCAAGGGAGACTTTTCAACTATACAAGAGCAATATAAATATATAGGGGAAAAAAACATTTCAAAAACACAACAGTTTCACCAAGCAGAAAGAAACGCAAGCAGTATGAAAAGACAAGGAAAGAAAGGACCACAAGCAATGCAGGTCAACTCAACTTTAGAAGAGGTAACAGCTGCAGCAGATGGAATGTCAGATAAAGAATTCAGGATACACATGCTTCAGATGATCTGGAGTATCAAGGAAGACATTAGACAGCAAAATCAGACAATGAAAGATCACTTCGACAATGAATTACACAAACAAATCCAGGAAGCAAAGGATCAACTATACAGGGAGATAGAGGTTATAAAAAACAAACAAACAGAAATCCTAGAAATGCAGGAAGCAATAAACCAACTTAAAAACTCAATGGAGAATACTACCAGCAGAGTAGAACACTTAGAAGATAGAACATCAGACAATGAAGACAAAGTATTTCAACTTGAAAAGAACATAGACAGCTCAGCAAGACTGTTAAGAAACCATGAGCAGAACATCCAAGAAATATGGGATAACATTAAGAGACCAAACTTAAGAGTCATTGGGATACAGGAAGGTACAGAACTCCAAACCAAAGGAATGAGCAATCTATTCAATGAAATAATATGAGAAAACTTCCCAGACTTGAAGAATGAGACAGAATCCCAAATCCTAGAAGCCTACAGGACGCCGAATGTGCAAAATCATAAGAGATCCACACCTAGACACATTATAATGAAGATGCCCAACATACAGAATAAGGAGAGAATTTTAAAAGCTACAAGAGAAAGGAAGCAGATTACATTTAGGGGTAAGCCAATCAGGATAACAGCTGATCTTTCAACACAGACTCTGAAAGCTAGAAGATCCTGGAATAACATATTTCAAACACTGAAAGAAAATGGGTTCCAACCAAGAATTGTGTATCCAGCGAAATTAAGCTTCAGGATGGAAGATGAAATTAAAACCTTCCACGATAAACAAAAGTTTAAAGAATTCGAAGCTAGAAAACCATCTCTTCAAAACATCCTCGCCAAAGCATTACAGGAAGAGGAAATGGAAAATAACAATGAAAACCAACAGTGGGAGGTAGGACAGTAAAGGGGGGGAAATAATCAAAGAGGCAAACAAACCATGTTTAGTAACAGAAATAAACAAATATGGCTGGAAGAAAAACCCATATCTCAATAATAACCCTAAATGTTAATGGCTTAAACTCACCAATTAAGAGACACAGGCTAGTAGAATGGATCACAAAACAAGACCCAACAATATGCTGCCTACAGGAGACGCATTTGATAGGAAAAGACATACATAGGCTGAAGGTGAAAGGTTGGGAAAAATCATATCACTCATATGGACTTTGGAAACAAGCAGGAGTGTCCATACTCATATCAAATAAAATAGATTTCAAGCCAAAGTTAATCAAAAGGGATAAAGAGGGACACTACATACTGCTTAAGGGAACCATACACCAACAAGACATAACAATCATAAATATTTATGCCCCAAACAATGGTGCAGCTATGTTCGTCAAACAAACTCTTCTCAAGTTCAACAGTCTAATAGACCACCATGCAATAATCATGGGAGACTTCAACACACCTCTCTCGCCATTGGACAGATCTTCCAAACAAAAGTTGAATAAGGAAACTACAGAACTCAATAACACAATTAATGACCTAGACTTAATTGACATATATAGAATATACCACCCAACATCAAGCAGTTACACTTTTTCCTCAGCAGCACATGGATCCTTCTCAAAAATAGATCATATATTATGTCACAGGGCAACTCTTAGACAATATAAAGGAGTAGAGATAATACCATGCATCTTATCTGATCATAATGGAATGAAACTGA